CCCCCCCGTGCCTCAAGGCCTACGGGCCCCTCCGGCACCACAGTGTGCAGAGAGGGCGGTGGCAGTATGGCGGTGTCAGGCCCGCATCCTCCAGCCCAGGTTTTGTGCTATGTCCAACTCGGCTTTAGGTTGCCGAGGTCACCTTTGGCCTCAGTAAGTCACAGAGAGGGAGCTGCAGGGGTGGCAGCAGCTGAAGAAGAGGATGAGAACCAGTGAGTTGAACAGGTTTTATGGCACAGCACAGAACAGCACTATGACTTGCCCTGCTGTTACTAGTGGAATGTGGTGAGCTATCAGCTGTTAAGTCACTAGGAGGAGCACTCAAAGTGTGCCCACCCCGAGGGAAAGACCCTCTCTTGCACTTGGCACTTGGAAAAATACAGAGCTGTTGCTGTCACCTATGGAATGTGATGCACCCTACACAAATACACCCAGCATCGGCCTCCCACGCAAAGGAGTGTTTCAGAAAGACATTTGTAAATGTGAACACATCCTAGTCTGATGATTCAGATGACAGCAGGGACACAAAGAGCTTTGAAACTGGTTGGCACAAACGTCCCTACTGCTGGCAGGCCAGTGGGACCTGTGGAAGCAGTGATTGAAGCCAGTCAGCACAGCTGTGTACAAAACCACTGCGCTGTCATGTGTATGGCAGGATTGCCAAGCTTCTGCCTGTTTTTCTCCTCTGCAATGTGTGTGTGTGGTGTGTGGGTAGTGGTTAGGTGTTTAAATGAATTTTCTGCTTGTATCAAGACCGCACCATCACTGGGAGAATGCTTTGTTTTCCCAGAAGAATGTGGTTGCCTGTTGTGTTATGTGTCATCTCTTCCAGCCACTGCTGCCTTCTGAGCAATTACCAGGCTGCCAAACCTGACTTGTTGATGTGGCTCAAAAAAAAAAAAAAAAGGGCAATCTTTTCTGTGACCAGGAACAAGGACTGGCTGATAACAATGACCTCTCCTGCTGGATGAGAGGGTGGTTAGAGTTTGTGAGTAGTGCAGTACCATGAACTTCTTGACTGCATACATCAAAACACCGACTGAAGCCACCCACAATGCTGGAGCACAAGGGCAAGAGCGTGTTGTTAATAATCACTTTGAAGTCCTGGGTATAAGAGGTGATTTATTTATGAAGGGAAGCTGAATGAGAAATGCAGTCCTTCAGGTGGAAGCTCTCTGAGGAGAAGAGACTGACATCCTGACCCTGGAACTGACAGAAGTTTTACATCAGTGAAGCACTAGAATTAATGAGCCAGACCCTGATCTTACACGTGAGGAGCTTGAGGGGGCTCAGCAGTGCAACAACACTTGACTGCAGCTGAGGATGATACAGAGAAGACAGAGCCAGACTCTTCCCAGGACTTATGCACAACAAAAGAGAAGAGGCCCTTGCCTCTGTTGCTAGTTGCAGCACTAAATTCTGGTGCAATAAAAAGAAAAAAAAGTACTGTGAGGGTGGGTAAGTACTGTTATAGCAGCCCAGAGAAGGGATGGAATAGCCATCCCTAGAGACAGTGAAAATTTAACTGAAAAGATTCTGCAATTCTGTGACCCTGAGAGAGACCCTGCAACATTTGGAAATGTTTTGCTATGTAATTCTCTTTCAAATTCTTGGATAAAAATAACCATCCATAACTTTCTTCTTAGAATACTTACTTTGAAATGAAATCTTAAAAATCTGTCCTCTTGTCCTTCTCAGAGCATATAACTTTGCTACTGACAACTAAGGGTTAACCTATTTTTGATACAATTACATCGCAGCTGCCGCTGAAGTCCGGCCTGCTAGCTGGGCAATGCAGAACATAGAGGAAACCCAGCAGAACCCTCCCAAAGTTGACAGTTAATACAGAGGAGCTGATTAAGGGAATGTCACTCAGCCGATCATCGGCAGAGGCAGAAGTCGGGCCTGCTGCCTGCGCCATGCCACGACAGGGGGCAGGACTGCTCCGTGCAGGGGGTCAGGGAGTCCCACACGGTCCCTCTGCTGTCTCTCGCTTCGTGACCATGAGCTTTGCAGGGTCACCCCAGAGGAAGTGACCACCAGGCCGTTGGGCCTCATTTCTGAGCGGGGAGCTCCACCGTGTGGGCGCTGCTGAGAACTTCTGCTGCGGTAAGGGGTCCTCGGTTCAAGCGTAGGACTGGGTTTGCAACGGTGAAATATTTCTCCTGTTTTACTGCAAGGAGAAACAAAACTTTCCCCCACACCTAGGAGAACATCTGCATAACATAAATCATTTGGCTGTGCCCCGGGGGATTGCTCAGGGCCTTGCATATGTCTGAGCAGCGGACTGTTTAGAAGAAGTCCCAGGACCTCATTTGTCCTGTGTCCGCTTCTGCTCACTAGAGCTGCAGGGGAAAAGGAGTGAATGTCTCCTTTCCTGGCAGCTTCTGCCATTAGAAAGAAAGAAAAGAGGCAGAACTGGCCTGAGGTAGAAAACAGACCTGCTGACACTGACAAGGCCAAAACCTGCGTGTCTGATGTGCCTTGCTTTTGTGGTGTGCCCACTGATGTGTGGGCATTGTGTATGTCCTTCAGTATGTCCCTGAAGTATCGGCTTTTGTACCCATGTGCTGACTGACCCTGCTTTTTGTGTACTGTTGCTCCAACAGGTCCAAGATCGATTGGATTCTCTTTGCATGAGATGGACAACGAATCTGCATGTGCCCTAAAGCTATGTCTGTCTCAATATTAGAAATCCAGCTGATTACCTCCTCCCAAGGGAAAAAGTAATGAATCATTGATGGAAATGGTTATCTAAAATCCACAAAATTACGGCTAGCCAATGTGTAAAAAAATCCGGGAAGCTGTTCATTTTCAAGAATAGGTCTAATTAATTGTATCAGAAATCTGAAATGCAGCTTTATCCTGAAAAGTGGGCTCTCTGCTTACAGTCCTCCAATATGGCTTGGATCAAGAAGGCTCAGTTTGCGAATGCAGACAGTTTTCCACCCCCAAATAGACAGCCCATGAAAAGTCAGCCCAGGCTCTGAGAGTCAAACCCCCTTCTGCTTGTCTTTCATCATGTGTAATAAGGAGTCTGCAAGCAGATCATATGTTGCATGACTAGTTAGCTTCTTGGCACTCAGATGGATTTCTCTGTACTGGGTCTGTGCTGAATCCCGTGTTTCTGGCTGGTTTTCTGCTACTGTTGTCAGCATCAACACAACTAATGCTGAGCTAATATCCTTCTTGACTGTTGTCCTTTGAGCCAAGTTGTCTGTTTTGGGGGGAACTTTCAGTGGGTAATTTGTATTCCTTGCTCACCACTCCACAGCCTGCCTGCCCCATCCCTGCCCCACTTCTGCTGAGTCCCTCCAAAACTCTGCAGGGGCCTCTATGTGGGGCAGGTGGGAGATGGAGGTGGTGGTGGCCCCACTGGGGTGAAGTAGAGGACTGTCATACACAGAGGTGGTTTATCACATGCCAGGATGGGTGTTTGCTGTTAGCGCTTGCATCCTGGAGCTGCCAACTCAGAGAGAAAGGAGTGAGAAACATTGAAAACATGGCTACAAATGACCTGACTGCTTATTTACCAACCTGTACATCTTATCCACTGTATTCAAACTCCTCGTGGTTTCAGCAGAACACAGTATCACTGTCCTTTGGGGTTCAGGCTGACTTAGTTTGGATGGCGAAAAGCAGTATTTTTGTGCTTTTTTTTCATTTGTACTTTTTTCTTGCCAGGTGTTTTAATTGTCCTTCCTCTGAAATTTCCTGCATTTAAAACTATCAGAAGCAAGCTTACCCAGAGGGGAATAAGCCTGGTAAAATGGACAATGCTCCATGGTAGATGCATTGTATTTCCACATGGACCCAACATGTTTCACTCCCTCTCGACTTTGTCCCCACGTATTTCTCCTCCTAGTCAAGGAGATAGGTTTCAGGAGCATCTGTTCTTACCTACCACTAATATACTGCTCAGTGCTGACACCCAGAAGGTACAGCTGTTACATGCAAAGGAAGTATTTACAACCTGAAAAAAACAGCAACTTAAATCCTAATGCTTTTTCTGAGACCCTGCATGTGGAAAGCATAAGCACTGGCTTGGTTGATCTTTTTTAACTTGTAAGGCAGCTTTCAGCCTTTCCACACCAGGAACATGACCACACACTATTGCACAGCCCAGGAAGACTGCCAGTCTGATGAGGCACTATCAAAGCTTGTGGTCCTTGGGCTGAGCCCTTGGGGTGTCGAGCCCCACAGTGGAATAGCAACAGAGCGTATGGAGGACCACATCTCATGAGGAGTGGCAGAGTGGAGGGTGGGAAAAAAGACAGAGACTTGCCCTCATTATGCATGGGTCTAACATGCCCAATTACCCCATCCTC